TATATACTCCATGTGTTAGATAAATTGAGCTAAGACTCATATTAAAGATCATGTTTAGGCTACGTACCGACAATATTTGAGACCCACATTGGTCGAATCACTATTGAATTATCTGTTTAACTTATTGTGTACCTAGTTACATCTATCATTGCATATCATATCTCAGTCTCTGTTTCCGCTCGTTGATAAATCATATCATTATGTCGGGTCGATTTTCATATCATTGTGAGCCCGAGAGACTAGAGATATTGAGAGGACCGGGCTGCACGCCGCAACATGTTTTATTCATTTATGCCTGGATCTTGCTATTATAGCGCTTGGGCTGAATGAGCCCCCTTGGAGTCTGCACCCCACAACGTGAGGTATGGATCTTCTCTGGGCATGGATCTTGCCTGAAGCATTTTATATTGAGGGATGGATCTTCCATGGACATGGATCTTGTCCGAATCGTTTATATTTGGGGAAGGATATTCCCCTGGGCTAGATTGTCCCCACATAGTACTGAGTGACTGACTGTCAGTTAATGTATAAATATATGGTATGGATCTTCCCTGGGCTAGATTGGCCATATACAAGACTAAGGGATTGAGTATTCCGAGGGTGTGAGTGCACGAGATTTCCATTGAGGTGCATCACATACGGCGTGTACATTGGCATGTTGATATAGAGATATCATATTCCTCATATCATTCAGGATTAATGTATTTTACTTATATTAAGTTATACTGTTAAACTTGAAAGCATGCCTACATTTCTGTACTTTTATTTTATATTGAATTGTACCTGTTGAGCTCGACACTAGTTTCAGCCCAGAGGTTAGTCTTGTTGCTTATTGGGTTGGTTGTACTCATACTACACCCTGCACCTCGTGTGCAGATCTAGGTACTCCCGGACACGACGACTGCTAAATTTCATAGATCTATCTATTGGAGATTATCAAGGTAGCTGCTTGGCGTCCACAGACCTTGACTCTCTTTCCATTAAGTTATCTGTACTGTTTTATATTTCCAGACAGTGTTTTTATCAGTAAGATTATGTTATCATTTAGATGCTCATGTACTTAGTGACACCGAATTTTGGGAGTGTATTTATATCAGTATTTGTGAAACTTTCTACTAAATCTAAGTATTTTGTTTTCAAACTTAAAAGATTATTGTAATTTATTGAGGTTATTGGCTTACCTTGTATCGAGATAGGTGCCATCACGACATGTGGGGTTTTGGGTCGTGACAAGTCACTTTGTGTCCTAGAACAATTCCCTCTTTCACCATGAAATCGCACTTCTCCCAGTTAAGAACCAGATGAGTGTCTTCCTTCACAACATATGGCACATCCCTTTAAACTTGTCACCCATGAGTTTGTTAAGGATTATGGGTCTTCGAACAGCTAGAACCAAGTCTCCCACTTTTTTTTTGGCAATCCGCTAGGCATGCGCCTATGGCTAGATTATATATATATATATATATATAAGTAAGAAATACAAATGTCTTGATGTCCTACGAAATGTAAAGCATAAACTTTGTAAAATACATGTACCCTATTATCAAAATTGAGTAGATCACTCAAAATTGATATCACAAGTATTACTAATCATTGTATAGAAAAATTAGCCCATAAATTGCATCCATGAGGACGCACATGCTGTAATCCATCTTTTCTTGAATTGTGCAGATCAAGTGCATGCTCAAATGTCCAAAGCATTCTTGTCCAACATGTTTTACATTTCCAACGTACATTTCCATGTGAAAACAGGCGTGCATCCCTGTTGGAAATTAAAATGTCCTCCAAAAAAGCACTGGCAAGCTGCTTTGGTTTTGAAAACTGCCAGCATCCATGTGTGCCTCGTGTTTCCTTCCATAGGCAAGCTCCAAAACGCATGCTTGTAAAAAAGAATTAAAAATTGGATAATAGCACTTCGAAGCTGAAGAGTGCATTGTATGAAAATACCCATGATGCATCGTGTAATGTATTAAACAGTGAAGCCCACGATGCATTGTACTGTTTTTGCCTATTTTTAAATCTCTTCCATTAGAATGAATGCATGGCATTAATACCACCAATTGAAAGTTCAATAAAAATATGCATAGAGTGTCGTGACATTTGCATATGTACTCTGCATTTTCCAATGAGACCACTTCATTGTTTGGTATTTTAACCCATGCTTCACATGTTTTTGCTCCTTTTGATACATGAGTTTGTTTTTCCAAAAAATAACCAGCATCATGCTAATGTCTTGATGTCCCTTCCATGTGCTGCAAACTTTTCCATTGCATTTCCAAAAGAATGAACTACATGCGTGCGTTGTATTCTGGAGAAAAGTGCTATTCATAAACATGCATACACACTGCCAGCAGCTCGAATTATGTGTGCTCGCACAACACCCAAAGCTACTAATCCATGCGTGCATGCCTACACTTTCCAGCTTTGTTCTTGTAAATTGCAGCCACGCTTGTAGGTAGCGTGAACAATTCATTGTCCATCTTTTGTTTCACTGCCAACGAGCAATTGTCGAATCCCCATGCACATGCCTTCTTTCCCATGTGTATGCCAGCGTGTAAATCCTTTTGAAAACAGGCGTGCATCCCTGTTGGAAATTAAACTGTCCTCCCAACTGTTGTAGCTCGTCGACCGTGTAATCTCCATGACCCAAACATCTTGAAACATTCATTCATATAGTAATGCTAGAAGCTTGCGTATTTTGCTTCTAACGATGACTCCTCGGTCCCATGCATTCGTTCCAGGCGCGCCTGCCTTTGTCGTTCCTTTTGTCTTGATGGAAAACAAGACATTCCCAAGTCATTGCCCATATATGCGTTTTAATTCTTGGATTTCTGACAGCATAGGATAATATACTCGTAATGGCACCTGCACGAGAGAAAAGATAGTTAGAAATACCAACCATTATATCCTCCTCCCTTAGGATTTGAATATATTGGTCGATTAAGTTGACATGGCTCTTGCTCTTCATTTTCTCTTTGCTTCTTATCTCCTGTCCACCTTCACCCTTAGACTTGGACATTGCAGCTTATCTTCATTAACTAACCTCCTTCCCTGTGCATCTAGATGCCAGAATTGTTGGCATTCTATTTCTCCATGATCTAAAGCATAATTAGCCAAGTGATCTACCAGCTTGTTTCCCTCCCTATGAATATGAGTAACTGTATAATTGCCCCCATTCATTAGTTGCATCATTTCCTCTACCTGCTCAGATATGATCCATGGTGGTTTCCAGATCCCATCCATTATCTTTTTTAATAACATTGAGTCAGTTTGAAGCCATACATGAGAGTATTGTTGAAATCTGCAGAACCTTAGTGCTTCTACCATGGCCTTTGCTTCAGCTACTATGTTTGTTGTCTCCTCAATCTCCTTCCCTACTGACTTGACTATGTCACCATTTTCATTTCTTATACAAAAACCTATTGAGCTCCTGCCTGGATTTCCCCTCGATGCACCATCCGTATTAACTTTTAGCCATCCTGCACTTGGAAATTCCCACATGACTTTGGTAACCTTAAGTTTAGGAGTGAAATTTTCCATCATAGCTAATAGATCTTGCCATTTGTGAGGTACCATGTCCATCCCATGCTTTCTCACTTTCACCAATGCCTAGAGATTTGATGAAACTTGATAAATCACCCTGCTAGTTGTCACAACATCACCATACTTCATACTATTTCTTCTTTTCCAGAGTTCCCAGACTACACATGAGGGGAGTGCTTGCATTACTGGTTTGAGCCTTAAGCACACATTTGCAGTCCAACATTTTGTGATTGCTTGGTGCAATGTTAATCCCTCCACAGATATTCCTGCCCTCGTTAGAAAATAATTCCAAGTTGTCCTTGCAGTTTCTGATCTAAAAAACAAGTGCTGAAGAGATTTCTCGTCAGGCTGTACACAACACCAACATTTTGATGGCATTTAGTAGCCTACCCTTTTCAAGAAATCATCTAAAGGTAGCTTTTCTTTCCACACTTTCCACATGAAAAATGCTATTTTAAAAGGCAGTCCCTTTACCCAAATCATCCTATAAGCTGTTCTTGGTTCGTCTCTTCTTCTCGTATAATCCCATGCTGACTTAACACTGAAATATCCTCTTGTTTCCAGCATCCAATAAGGCATGTCAAGAACCTGCTGAGGTGAAGGTGGTTTGATTTTCTCTAGACTGTGTACTGCTAAGTCTTCAGGAAGCATTTCAAATATCCTGTCCACATCCCACTCACCATCTAAGGTAACATCATGTACATTATGTACAGTTTCATCAATGCCAAAGTTCTGAGGAACTAAAAAATATAGTGCCCCAAGACCTGTCCAGTTTTCAAACCAAAATAGTGAGGAACCCCTTTTTGTTTGCCAAAAGATTTGATGTTCAATCAGATCTCTGCATTCCAACATTTTTCTCCAAATGTGAGACCCCCTTTTCCATGGAACAATTACAGAATTCAATTTTTTACAGTATTTCTGACATACGAAAGCTCTCCATAGGCTTGGTTTTGTTCTGAAATTCCCCCACAACTTGCTGAATAATGCCTTTGCTACATCATGCAGTGACCTGAAACCTATTCCTCCTTCCTCAACTGGCATGCATAAGGTATTCCATGAAGCCCAATGCCTACTAGTTCCTCCTACAGAGCTGCTCCATAAAAACTGAGCAAACAATTTGTGCAACCTATTTATCACATAATTTGGAGGGTTTACAAGTGATAATAGATGCATAGACATGCTTTGCAGTACATGGGATATGAGAACTGCCCTGCCCCCTACTGATAATAACTTGCCCTGCCATGATTGCAGTTTGTCCATTACCTTAGTAATTAGGGGCTGATAGAATTCCAGCTTTCTCCTTGCATAAAATATCGGACAACCTAGATATATAATAGGGAAATCATTCCTATGAATGCCTGTGATCCTTTCTACCTTGCTGACCACTTCCATGTCTGTTAAATGATGCAAGTACACAGCTGATTTGGTCTTGTTAACAAGCTGCCCAGATGCAGCTTCATATGCATTCAGCACTTGCATAATCAGCATCAGAGATGTTTCATCTGAGGATGAGAAAATAATCATGTCATCTGCATACGCCAAATGATTGATCTTTGGACTCCACTTTGGCATCCCAAATCCACAAAAATACAGGTTAGTATGTAGTGCATTGAGACCCCTAGATAATGCTTCTGCTGCCAATATAAACAAAGTTGGAGATACAGGATCACCTTGTTTTACTCCCCTTGAGGACTTAAAGAACCCATGAGCTTGACCATTGATTAGAATAGAATACCAATTGTTTGAAACTAATCCAAAGACAATCCCTATCAACCTTTATGTGAATCCCATCTTTCTCAGTACCTTGGTTAGGAATAGCCAAGATAATCTATCATAAGCTTTGGTCATATCTAGCTTCAGGATGACATTAGGTCCAGCCTTAGTTCTAAGCCTAATGTCAGTCACTATCTCCTGAGTTAGAAGGATGTTTTCTACAATATTCCTGCCCTTAACAAAACCTGACTGTTCCTCCGATATCAGACTTGGGAGAAATTTCACTAGCCTTTCATGTACCACCCTCGATATAACCTTATTTGAAAAGTTACTGAGGCTTATTGGTCTTAAATCAGAAAAAGTGGTAACTTCTTTTTTCTTTGGTAGCAGAACTAGGTTGGTGTGCGTTACACACTTGGGTAGCTCATGACCATTGAAAAAATCCCTCACCATGTCGTACAGGTCATCCCCTATTATGTCCCAACAAGAATGATAGAATTTGCCTGTCATACCATCTGGCCCCCCAGCACTATCACCATTAAGTTCGAGTACTGCCACTTTAACCTCCTCTTTTGTTGGCTGCTTAATCAATTCTGCATTCTGCTTAGTGTTAATCAGAATAGGAACATGCTCTACGATATCAAATAATGAAGGAGTAGCTCCTTTTGTGAACTGTTCCTCGTAGAATTTAATAGCCTCTTCTGCAATTTCTTGTTCTTCTTCAATCCAGGTTCCTCCACTATTTTGAATTCTGTTAAGCTGAAGTCTTTTCCTCCTACCTCTCACTTGTGCGTGGAACAACTTAGTGTTCCTATCCCCTTCCTTGAACCAAGTCATGCCTGCCTTTTGTTGCCAATATTTCTTCTCTAGTGCAAGACAATTGATCAATTCTGCTTGAACCTTTTGTAGCCTTTCCCTGTTCTTCCCTGTAGGATTTGCTTCAAATTCTGCTTCATGAACCATCACTACCTCCTCCATGCTTGCTATTTTTTGGAAAATATCTCCAAATGTAGCCGTACTCCACAATGAAAGGGCCTTCTTTAATTTTTTTAACTTGTGATTAAAAAGAATATAAGGATTTGCACTGAAATCAGCTGTCCAATTCTCTTTCACCACATCTTTAAAAGTTTCATGTTCCACCCAAAAATTCAAGAACTTAAAAGGATTTTTTATTGGTGGAGTGTCAATATCACACTTCAGATACATTGGACTATGATCGGAACCAGTCTTTGACAAATGTTGCACCTCTATTCCTGGAAATGTTTGTTGGAACTGAAGATTGACCAAGCATCTGTCTAGCTTTTTGAATTTACAATCTTCCTCTGCTCTACCATTCCACCATGTATATATGCTACCTTTAAATCCAAGGTCGAAGAGATTGCAAGTGTTGACGCAGTGTCGAAAATCATCAATTTCATTCAATGACACAGGTAACCCACCAAACTTCTCTTCTTCGTCCCATATTACATTGAAAACTCCTCCTACAAGCCATGGTGCATCCATATCCCTTGCCATTGCATATAATGAATCCCATAATTCTATCCTCTAAATTGCATCACATTTAGCATATATCAATGTTAGGACAAACTCCACATGCGATTCAGTATGAAACAATCGTAGTGCTAATTGTTGCACCATATTGTACATAACAGTTACCTCAAATACCTCATCTATGAAAGCCCGGATCTTGTTGGAAACATTTGAAATTGCTTGTGCAAGTCCTACCTTGCTTCTGTACCTTTCCAGTTTTTTGCTTGTTGCTTTGGCTCCATTAATCCTACAAATTCATAGTGATTTTGCCTGTGCATTTTTGTCAACCTTTCAAAGGCTTGTTGTGTGTTGACTGACCTTATATTCCAAATGAGAGCATTCATCACTGATTGTTTGATTTAGTTAGCGTTCTCCTTGTGTGCACCCCAGGTTTTAGGGCTGCAAAATTATCTTTTTGTTGCTTCTTCTTACCTTTTGCTGCTGATTTTGCTTTTTCCACTTGCGTAGGTGATAAGTCACCTTGCCGTGTAGCATTCATAAGGTGTTGGGTAGTTGATTCGTGATCCATGTCGTATCCTGATCTACCTGGTTCTTCTCCTTCTTCATTGTCTTCCTTCCCTCCTGATGTAGCTCCAAATGTATTCTTTTTAGGGACCAAGGCCTTCTCTTCTCCTAGTTTTAACAGCTACAACTGCTTTTTCTCCAATGTAACAGTAACATTTACTATTTCTATTTTTTGTTTTGGCTGTTTCTCCTTCTCTGTTGTGTTGTGTCCTTGTGGGTCTTCTTGTAATTTCTGAAGTTTATCATCTTCTGTTACTCCAGGATCACTTACCTCTGGGCCTCTTCCTTCATAGTTTCTAATTTCTGTGACTTCTGCTATCTGATAATTATTGTTGTGATCAACAATTTCTGATCCTCCCATTATTAAAAAATTACCAGTTGTATTGTTATCATTGGCATGGAGCTCTCTATTTACACTTTGCTCATTTACATTTTGCTCATCTTCTTTTTTGTCCTTCTCATTTGGTTCTTCATCAGCTTTTGCTCCTAGTGGTACTTCGTTCTCCTCTGAATCGTATTCCCTTTGTGCATCCCATAGCCTGCCTCCATAGCCTTGCACTCTTTCTTTAAATGTAGACGATTTTGACCCTTCTGCTTGAGAATTTGGAGTTTTATTAAGTTCCTTGTTCACTAATGTATCTTGTAATAGGATTTCCTGGCATGATGTATTGATCTTCACTATTCCATCTCCTGTTTTATCCTTGAAACTTCTTTCTACCCATTGTAGAGTATCGTTTTTTTGCTTTTGATGCCTCCTTTCCATTGACTAGACCATTAGTCAAACCAATCTCCGATGAGTTAAGATGAAAAGCTTGTCCTGCTGGATTTAGCTTTCCCTCATTATTGACCATATGCTTTGGTTTTTGTTTTGTAGATGCTTGGTTATGAACTGTTGGATTGTTTGTTGCTGCATTAGCTGCCACCATTGCCAATTGATTAACAGGTTCTTCCTCTTCATCCATCCCTTGTAATATTGCAAACTTGTTAGCTACTTGAACATGATCATTATCTTCATTGTCTACTGCCACCAATTCCTTACCACTGTTGCTTTGTGCTTCTGTTTGTCTATCTACAGTGCTTGAACCCTCCTTGTTCTTATTGTTTTCAAACTGCTTAGCTGGTGCCATCTCCATTCCATTATTATTGAGACTAGTATTTTGAATTACTACATTTCTAACTCTATTTTCCTTCACTTCCTTCCATTGCTCTTTTGCTGTAACATTCACATTACCCACGACCTTTCCACTAGATAAAATCATTATAGGTTGTGAGTTCCCTATGTCCTACTTCTTAGCTATATCTGCTTGGTTAGCATTCTCCTTCTCCACATATAGTTCAGGGTGTATCCTCCAACATTCAAATTGATCATGCCCTTGAAGTTTACAATGTCTGCAATATTTAGGCAGCATGTCATATTGAATTCTCACCCATTCAGTTCTTGTTGTTCCATTAGCTTCATTGAATATGTCCATCCTCACCTTTTTAGGCAAATCTGCAAGTAGATCAACTAGTACCTTCACCCTAGCACAACTAGGTCTAGTTTTATTAATTGTTGCCATGTCTAGATGCATAGGTTTAGCTACTGCTGTAGCTAGAGAAAATAGACATTCCTTCACAAAAAAAGGTTGGCAATAGACCTGGGAATGAAATCCAAGCCATTGCCTTGGGTGTTTCTTCATCTGCTCTAAACTTTGAGTCGTAAATCAATGGCCTAAGCTGATATTGATAGACATCCCTGTCCTTTATGTAATGAGTTTTTGATGAGAAATGAAGATAGTCCTGCCTTAACGTCATTCTAATCAAAATGTGCCTATCCCTTAGAAATCCAATGTTACACTCACCTTTAATTCCACATTGAATTGGTATTAACTTACGCAGTTGTTGAATTTCTGGGCTGCCATAAGAACATTTACCAACTATTGCATATTGTAATCCTTCGATGATATCCATCCTTTCTACTTCTGCTTCTGTGAACTGAATAACATGCTCTCTATTCAATATTGTAGGTGGACGAATGGGAATTGGCTCAACTTCCTGTTGCTCATGCATTGCAGCATTTACAGTGCAAGGTTTCAGAATTTTGGAGTAATCCATCGGTTGTTTGTTGTTATTGGTGTTCCCTGATGTTTGTGCAATGTTTGGAGGAGGTTGGGTAGGCAGCGCAACCACTAAAGGTGGCTGGCCAGCTGCCTGTGTGTTCATTAAAGTTGTAATTCTTTAGCACTTTAATTACATGACAAAGGTGCAGCAGCTTAGCAAGAAAACGATGCTACTGTAATTCGAATTAGCTTCACGTTACTTACTGCTTATGGCTGTGAATCCAATTTCACAGTCCAAATTGTAAAAAATAGTAATTTCGATTTAAAATGAAGCTTAGAATTCAAACCAATCATAGCAGAGAAGAGAACACTTTCACGTTATCAAAACAAGCCGTTGTGCTGAAAAGTAGTGCTGGAATTAGCTGAATCGCTGAAATTGAATGAAGAACACTGTCTGCTACAATATCTCGTGAAAATGAAATTAAGAGCTACAAAAATTGACTATAGATCTAAAGTTGAAACCAATTGGGTATTATTCGTAAGGAAATTATGTATCTTTTGACACCAAATTTGGTTAGTTCCACCACTGGATGCCGGAGTTATGACCGGAAAATGATGATGAAATTACTATTCCTTCTCTTCCTAGAGAGAAGGCAGAGATCCTCCCTTTAACCAAGTCTCCCACTTGGAATGACCATTGCCGCACTTTTTTGTTGAAGGCTCTAGCTAATCGAGCTTGATTGCACTCCAATTTTTGTTGCACTTTCAATCTTTTCTCATCCAATGCCTCTAACTCTGCTCGGAAAAGTTGAGCATTCTTTCGGACGTGATTCATTCTTGAATTGCGATCCGCAATGATGTAATTTGTTTCTCCAGTGGAAGGCCTGCTTCTACACTATTCACCAAAGAGTAAAGTGTTACTTGTGTAGCAGTTCTGAAGATTGTCTGGTATGCCCACAAAGCTTCATCAATTTTCTCATGCCATTCTCTCTTGTTCTTTACAACAACTTTTTTCAAAATGTACCAAGTGTCTTGTTAAAAGCTTCAGCAGGGCCATTGGCGGGTGCATTATACATTGAAGACTTATGTTGCTTGAAGCCAAACTTCTCACATAGACTCCATACGAGCTAGTTGTCAAATGGCGTTCCATTATGAGTGATTAAGTATCTTGGTATGAAGTACATAAAAATTATATTCTACTTGATAAAATCGACAATAGTTTCCTTTTTTACTTCCTTGAGTGGAATAACTTCGCCCATCTAGAGGAGTAGTCTATGGCAGGAAATATGTACATCTGTCCATTTGAGGACTTTGGAAGCGGTGTAACAACGACAAGTCCCCATGCATCAAAAGGCCATGAAGCTACAGTTGGATGAAGAGGCTCTGGAGGTTGGTGGATATAGTAGGTATGGAATTGACACACTTGACATCATTTGGCATGTTCCATGCAATCCTTCACCATTGTCGGCCAGTAGTAGCTCATCCTCTTGATGCAAAAATGGAGCTTATGACTAGATTGGTGTGCTCCACATGAGCTAGAATGTGATTCCTCCATCGCTTGGCGAGCTTCTTCTTTGTCAAGACATCGCAAGAATAGTCCTTCAAAAGAGCGGCAAAACAATGTCCCCATATAGAAGATGAATCATGGTGCCCTTCGCTTGATGTTTGTTCTTTGTCGTGCATCCTCAGGTAACTTTCCATGTTCAAGGTACTCTATCAACAGCTGTCTCCAATCTTCTTCGTCAATCACTCGAACATATGTATGATGACTTTCATTGATTTGAAGATTAAGAAGTCTAGCAATGACACATCGATGAGACACATGTACCTTTGTTGACTCATTCTCTCCAAGTGCCATCGTCGTGGCCAAGTTAGCCAAAATGTCAGCCATGCGATTTTCTTCTCTTGGAATGTGGTTTAAGAATAGTTGGTCAAATATTTCGAGTAAGCAAGAAGCATATTAGTGGTACGGCAAAATATCTTCCTTCTTTACATCGTAACTCCCCAAAAATTGGTTGATGATAAGCTTAATCGCCGTAGATCTCCAACTATAGAATCTTCATGTCTAATGTCATTTCAAGACCGACGATCAAAGCTTGGTACTCTGCAACATTATTAGAGCATGTTTCACCTAAAACAAAGGAGAATGGCAAGACTTGTCTTTCCAGAGAGATCAACACCACACCTACCCCTGCACCATGACGACGTGCGGATCCATCAAAGAACATTTTCCATGGTGGAAATTCTTCAATGAACAAAAAATCTTTATTTGAAAACTCATCAAAAAGTTCCCATTCTACTGGAAGAGGGTGATCAACTAGAAAATCGGTGATTGCATGTCCTTTACAGCCTTTTGAGGTGTGTATGTGATCTCATATTGGTTAAACGATATGGACCATCTTGCTAGGCGTCCAGAAAGAACAGGTCAACTCATCACAAACTTCACGAGATTTTATTGAGAGATGAGTTTGATGGTGTGTGCTTCAAAATAATGCCTTAGTTTCTTTATTGCATAAAATAACACTAAGCAAATTTTCTCGACATGTGTGTAGTTCAACTCAGCTCCTATCAGAGTTCAACTGAGTTTGTACCTTCCCTTCATCATTTTCTTGAGCAAGTAGTGCCCCAAGTAAGCGTTCTTATGCCGCAATGTAGAGTATCAATGGATTCCAAGGCATTGGTGCCCCTAACACAGGTGGATTCAGCAAGTACCTTTTGATGCTTTCAAAAGATTTTTGACATGATTTATCCCAGTGAAAAGGGACATCTTTCCTCAATAGATGATTGAAGGGATGACACCATCCGACCAGGTTAGAGATAAACCTCTTAAGGAATGCTAAGTTTCCTTGGAGACTGCAAATCTCCCTCAAGTTCTTCGGCTCGTGCATTTTTTGAATGGCATCACTCTTTGTGGGGTCAACTTCAATTCCACGATTATGCATAATGAAGACAAGAAACTTTCCCGAGGTAACTCCAAATGCACATTTAAGTGGATTCATTTTCAGGTCAAAATTTCTTAACCTTTCAAAAACAATCTGAAGACCTTCAGTGCATATGCTTTGTCTTCACCACTAAGTCATCACTGTAGCATTCAAATCTCCTACGAAGCATGTCATCAAAGATGTTTTTATTACGTGTTGGTAGGTGGAACCAGCATTCTTTAGACCTACGGGCATCTCTTTGTAGCAATATATCACTTTTGGAGTTCGAAAAGCGGTACACTCTTCATTTTTTGGAGACATTCTAATTTGATTATATCCGGATGACCCATTCATGAATGACATAGCTTCATGCCCTATTGTAGTATCAACCATGAGTTCAATAATTGGTAGCAAAAAGTCATCTTTCGGACATGCCTTGTTTAGGTATGAAAGTCAACACAAACACGTATTAACCAATCTTCTTCTTGATAGGTACAATATTTGAGATCAGTGATAGGTATTACACCTCTTAGATAAATCCCACCTCGATGAGCTTGTTGACTTCTGCTTTAATTTATGGTACTAACTTGGGTCAAAACATGTGTTGTGACTGCTTCATAGGGCGTGCTCCACTCTTGATTCCCAAATGATCAACGACTACCTTAGGACTAAGGCCTGACATTTCTTTATATGACCAACGGAAGACATCTTTGTACTTAGTTAACAACTTGAAGTATTCCGCGCACTAACGGAGGTTGGGCGTTGATCTTCCAGAGTGCCTAGATTGAGTTCCTTAAGATCATCTACAGTTGATTGCCTGACATCTTCTAGTTTAAGGGGAGCCTCATGGAATTCATCATTAACGTCAAGGAATGGTCTATCTTCCAATGTTATGTGATGGGATGTTTCCACGAAGTCTAACTTTTTTCTTTGACTTACTTGGCTCGTCGGCATGGCTCCTTCCTCTTTCTTTGTTTCTCTATGAGGCTAGCAAGTGAAAACAATGGTACTCCTTTTCACCTTCAACAAACCATCAGTAGATATTGACAAAATGGACTTCCTCTTTATATGTGATGGGAAAGCACTACAGATTTCTTTATCAACAACAACATCACAGTGACCTTGCTCCTCATGTTTTGACAACATATTTCTAGATGGTGACTTCTTCATAGTTCCTAAGCAACAAAAGTCGGAGGTCATTGAGATAAATGCCACTACCTTTAGATGTTTGGGAGATACACGTTCACTTTTGTGACCTTGCCTTTCAAACACTAAGGCACAAGGTGTTGAGACTCTAATGCGATGAAATACAGAAGCCCGTTATTTTATTTTCCTGTCTTTAACTTCCTTTGTCTCCTATGCCGAGGTGTGTTGGGATGAAGCTATCTCTTTTTTCTCTTTGATGAAAGTCAAAAAGGCTTTGCTAAACTGAATACTAACCCAAACTTAGGAGTGGCGATGTAGTGACCTTGCTTTCTCAACCTCATTTAGGACTCAGTAAGACTATGTATCTTTTCACCAATGACTTTATCTTTGAGTTCTCCATTATTGATGGATTTGAGAAGTCATAACCATACTTTTCAAGTAGTATGAATGCCTTAGGATCAAAGTGCTTTTTTATTTTATCACCATGGAGGTTGCCTTTAGTAGACTCACAAGTCACGAATGATATTTGTGCAATCGGGGTAGTCATATGCTCCTTCAAATGTTGGATAGCTTTGTGATGTATTTGCTTCTTTGGAGTAGATTCCTGTAACAAAGGTTGCCCTTTCGTTCGATGCTCATGCGAAACATAGCGAAAAACTAGATGCTCCTTATCAGTCTTTGTCTGTATATCACCTTCAGATGATGATAGCTTAATGTACACTTCTTCAGTTCTCTTTTTAGGCAGCTTGGCGGTAATCCATTAAGCTTCATTTTCTTCTTCTAACTTGACATTATCTTTGTCAATTGATGATGGTCTCTTCACACTCGGTTCACAAGAATCTAGGTAGAATTTTGCATCTGCAAAGTATGACTCCATCTTAGTGAAAGGATTGATGTCTTCATCAATTTAGACTATCTCTCCATCCTTTCTGTACTTTAGACTTTGATGCAAAGTAGACGATACCACTCCATTCTC